GCGGGCTGCCTGCAGCCTGTGGTGGGGCTGGGGCCCGGTGTTGCGTTGCACGGTCTGGAGCCTGGGTTCCACTCCCTGTGCAGGAGGGGCCTCCGCAGAGGACCTGCGGGCTCTCAGCCACCAGAACATAAGCATGGACATGGCCACATTCAAGAAGCTGCCGGTGGAGTCGGTGGTGGTAGGCAGGGAAGGGCTTTCGGGAAGGCCCAGCCAGGCCTAGAGGGGCCGAGGTTTGAACCCGGGGGGACTGACGGCTGCCTCGCTCTTGGGCAGCCGCTGACGGTGGATGAGGTTCAGGCACTTCTGGGGGCGCACATGGCAGAGCTGAAGGGGGAGGAGAACAGCAGCCCTGTGCGGGACTGGGTCTTCCGGCAGCGCCAAGAAGACCTGGACCGGCTGGAGCTGGGGCTCCAGGGCGGCGTCCCCAACGGCTACATGATCCTGGACCTCAGCTTTCGAGGTAGGCCGGGGCAGCCCGGGGCGGGGCCGGGGTGGCTGGGGGCTGGCGGGCCTGAGTCACCCCTCTAACGTGCAGAGGCCTTCTCCCGGGGAGCTCCACGTCTGACACCTGGACTTGCGCTTGCCTGGAGCTCTGCTCTGCTCTTGGCCTTCGCTCTGGGCTGAGACCACCGCTTCCGACCGTCCAGCCCTGGCCCTCCGAGGAGCTCTGCCTGACCCGAAGGCAGCCCAGCCCCGAGGGCATTTGAGCTCAATAAACAGCAGTGTGTCTCTGTGCTGATGTGGGCTGTGGTCTTGTCAGGCTGGGGAAGAGGGAGGGCCTGAGCTCAGGGCTTCCTGTGACCCCATGCACGCAGCACTCTGAGTTCCCATGACCTCTAAATGGAGCCCGTGACTGTCCAAGGCCTTCCCGGCATGATAACTGCCCTTCCTGAGCCCCCAGTTTTGGGTGTGGGGGAAGGCCTCTGTGTCACTCCTAGCAAAGACACAGGTGGCGGAACAGCTCCACACTTTATTCAGATCCTCTCAACAAGGCAGTGACAGCCAAGGGCTGCCCGGACCAGCTGTCCTAGCAGCCAAAGGGCCTTCTGTTCCCTGCCCACTGTTCCCTGGGCTTGTAGCTGGGCATGCTCCCTCTCCTCCCAGACCAGGTGTGTGTGTGGGGGCCTCCTGGGGCCTGGGGTGTGAGGCTCCCGCTCAGCCTGGGCAGGCATCCAGCTCGGCTAGGCTAGCAGCTTTGTGAGCCTGGCTGTGTGGGGGCAGGGCTGCCCACAGCGGCCGGGGTCCTGATGCCCGGTGCACAGCTCAGAGCCGTCCATTACAGCAGCAGCCACAGGAGGCCGGAGGGCAGGGCCACGGGGAGTGGCAGGTATCTCCAGAGGACCGGCAAGCTGCCTGTGGGTGGAACAAAGGAGGGTACCCGTCAGGCCCGGGGCTCACGCGGGGCCGAGGCCTCGGTCTGTGGCGACTCTCCTGGTCCAGTCGGGGTCCCCTCTCCACAGCTCCATGTGGGATGTGAGAGCGCAGGATCGAGAGTAGCTAGTGGGCGTGGAGCGGGTCGAACCTGAGGCTGGGGCTCCGGCTTCACTCTCGGGCAGGCCTGAGGTGGGGGCCAGGTGGAGTGCCAGGTGCGTGGTCCAGGAGGGCTGGGGCGTCCCGAGGCCAGGGCTGGGGCTGCTGGGGTTGGTGTCCAGGCCCAGCTTCCTCAGGGCTGACCCACTGAGGCTGCGCAGCCAGGAGCTGATGGTGGGGTGGCTGCGGGCCTTCTGCAGGTCCCCCACGTTCTGGCCCAGCAGCGAGGTCACGGTGCCCACGCTCAGGCTCTGCGTGGGGGCAGAGAGGGGCGTGGGGGAGGGGCGTGGGGGAGGGGCGTGGGGGAGGGGGCCATGGCTGTCTCCTGGGGCTGGGCACCACGCAGGTGGCGAGGCCCGGAGCCGGCCTGGAGGAGCGGCCCGGCCATGACACCAAACCCAGGGCTGGGAGCCCGCCCCGCCCTGCCCCAGCCGCCCGCCACCAAGGCGGCCGCAGACCTCACCTGCAGCACGCTGGGGTTGAGGTTGGTGAAGGTGTCGATGTCCATGGAGACGTTGGCCTGGACTAGGTGTTGTAGCTCATCCACAGACGCGCCACCTGGGGGGGTGAGGAGGGCAGGGGGTGAGGGTGGATATGGGGAGGGAGGGTGGGGGTGAGGGAGGGCAGGGGGTGAGGGAGGGCCGGTCTGGGGAGGTTGTTAGGGCCGCACTCACCCAGGTAGGGACGTATGTAGGGGTAGTATTCCTCTGTGCTCCTAGTACTGCTGAAGGCCTCCCGGGCCTTGGCGAAGAGCACGTTTTTCCGGCTCTGAGGGCAGGAGGAGATGTCCAGGGCCCCAGCCAGCCTGGGGTGGGGTGCGGCGGGTCAGGGTGGGAGTTGCTTGGCCACGGGTCCCTCCCCAGCCCTCTCCCGCTCGGTACCAGGTTCAGCGGCCTCTCCCCCAGAACCGTGTCCACCCAGAACCTCGGGGTGTTGGTAGATGAGATCAGATCAAAAGAATTTAGGCTGGATGGGGCTGGCTGGAAAGCCGGTCCCTGGCGTCCGTGGAGGACGGGAATCTGCCCAGCCATGAGGGGAGGGGCTGTGCAGAGTCGGACAGCCGGACGGGCCTCGCTGCCTGCTGGCAGCACCGGCGGGTGGCAGGGCGCCAAGGCCCGCTGTGGGCACGGAGGGGACCTGTCCTGGTGCTCTGGGCTTGGCACACTGGTTTCCAGAAGAGAGTAGACGTCACCCCGTTTGTGATACGTTGTGATGGTGGCCAGGGGCATCAGCTCTTTGCTGCCTCAGCCCAAACAGGACTCCAGCCAACCGCAGTTCCTCACCGGAGCTCGGAGGGCCGGATAGCCTGGATTTGCAGCGGACTCATCCAGCAGAGGCGAGAGCCCCCGATGGCTACCAGCAGGGCACCGGTGACCGTGCCATTGTGGTCCAGGAACTTCTGTAAGACGGCCTGGCGGGGAGGGGGGGCGGGGGTCAGCGAGGCCCAGCAAACCAGGGGCCCTGCGGCGTCCCCTGCTCCCCCCTCACCTCCGTCTGGTTCTGCAGGGCCCCGTCCGAGGCCAGCAGGGCCATGACTGTGTCTCTGGACGTGATGTTCCACCGGCTTATCTCCGCAAGGGAGTAGAGGTAAACCAGAGAGGTGATGAGACGCAGCTGGTCCTCAGGAATGCCGCCCGGGTAGATCTGAGGGGGGTGGGGTGGGGTTGGAGGCCGCAGGCGGGCCGGCCCTCCCGGGCCTCCCCCTCCACCCACGCGGGGGGGGGGCTGGCCCGCACACCTGGCTCAGCTTGGCCTTGACCACGCGCTGGCACTCGGCGGGCAGGGGGTGCTGCAGCAGGGGGTTCAGGTTGGCCCTGAGCACCGGGTAGCCCAGGCAGGCCCCCAGCTGCGCGCAGTCATAATGCACCAGGAAGAGGTCATCCCGCAGCGTGGCCGCCGTGATGTTACCCCGGACACAGGATCTCCCTGTGGGGTGTGCCGATGACCAGGCTGGCCGGCCCAGACTCCAGCTGAGCACTGGTGTGTGTGTGTGTGTGTGTGTGTGTGTGTGTGTGTGTGTGTGTCCTGGGCCTTGAGCCACGCCCCTAGCCGGCTCTCTGCTGGTTATTTCTTGCTGCCCGCCCTGTGGTAGGCATCCTGTAGCTGCTGGGGTCATAGGTGAGTGCTGCCCTGGAGAGATGGAGTCTCAAAAACTCTACGTTCTGGCTGGCCTTGAGCTGACATCCTCTGCACCTCAGCCTCCGGCCTGTAGCTGAGGACGGCCGGCTTGTGCCCACACCCCACCCCGCTGTGGGCTGAGAAGTCCTGCCGACTCCTCCACCCCCCTGGGGCAGCGCTGTCAACCCTCCCTTCCACTTTGACCCCAGCCAGACCCTTCCCCCCTCTCCCCCCTCCCCCCCCCTGCACTTAACCTCTGACTGAGAATTTGGCCCAGATCAGATGGGCTTAGGGAAGGCCGCGATGCCACACTGACCTGTGCCCCGCTTGGGCCTCGAGGACACGGAGGGGGACTTGGCCTCCAGGAAGCTGGTGACAAAGCGCCTGGCATCTCTCTGTCTGAGCCTCCCTGCCCGGCAGGCGGCCACCACACTCTGGAAGAAGTCCAGGGCCACGGCCTGGCAGGGCGGATGTTGCCGCTGGGTCTCAGGGAGGGCCAGCCCGGTCCCCCCTCCTGCCCCCTTGCAGCCCTGCCGCGCACTGACAGGAGAGCCGGGGCCCCGATGGCTCAGCATGGACATGGGCAGGCCACCGGTGACCGCGGCCAGCCCCACCCTGGCCATCCTCCTACCCACCTCCTGCACCTGCTCCCACAGGCGCGGGCTGACGTAGGCAGCCAGGGGTCCCAGGGCCTGCAGCCCCTCCAGCTTCCAGGAGCCAGGAGGCCTGACAGGAAGGGGACACTGCGTTGGTTCCCACGTACCACCCACCTCTCGCTGAGCAGAGAGGGGACCCCGCGGTGTGTGAGGGGGTCCCGGATGGTGCCCATACACAGTGCATGGGGCTGTGTGCTGTAGACACCAGAGCCTCCGGCCATGTGAGTCTGGAAGGCCATGGCCCTCCACACCCAGGACGCTGCTTCCTCATCTCACGGAGGGGATGCCTGTCCCCTGTCCCCGTCCCCCGTCCCCAGACCCCATCCCCCATCCCCATCCCCGGTCCCCAGACCCCATCCCCCGTCCCGTCCCCATCCTCCGTCCCCCGTCCCCATCCCCCATCCCCCCGTCCCCCTCCCCCGTCCTGTCACCTCCACCTACCCAAGCAGGGTCCTCCCGCTGGCTAGGAGGGTGTTGAGGGCAGCTGCCTGGGCAGCGGTCAGCCGGGGGCAGCGTAGCAGGTTCTGCAGCACGCTCGGGTCCGAGGTCTGGATGCTGGCTGCGTCCATGTCACATACCAGGGCCCCGAGGAGAACCAGGTCTGAGGCACTGAGCCGCAGGTGGGGCCCGCCCTGCAGGACCGCCAGTCAGTGTGAGCAGGAAGCCCCGCCCTGCAGGTCAGTGTGAGCAGGACGCCCCGCCCTGCAGGTCAGTGTGAGCAGGACGCCCCGCCCTGCAGGTCAGTGTGAGCAGGAAGCCCCGCCCTGCAGGTCAGTGTGAGCAGGAAGCCCCGCCCTGCAGGTCAGTGTGAACAGGAAGCCCCGCCCTGCAGGTCTGTGGTGAACAGGAAGCCCCGCCCTGCAGGTCAGTGTGAGCAGGAAGCCCCGCCCTGCAGGTCAGTGTGAGCAGGAAGCCCCGCCCTGCAGGTCAGTGTGAGCAGGTCAGTGTGAGCAGGACGCCCCGCCCTGCAGGTCAGTGGTGAGCAGGAAGCCCCGCCCTGCAGGTCAGTGTGAGCAGGAAGCCCCGCCCTGCAGGTCAGTGTGAGCAGGAAGCCCCGCCCTGCAGGTCAGTGGTGAGCAGGTCAGTGTGAGCAGGAAGCCCCGCCCTGCAGGTCAGTGTGAGCAGGAAGCCCCGCCCTGCTGCCCACCCCCTGCTCTCTGGGGTGCCTACCAGGCAGGTCCAGGCGGTTTGCTGCAAGGCAGCCCTCTGGTCAGGCAGGTTGGCCAGCAGCTCTGGGTCCCCCTGTGTGGCGCGGTGGGTGAAGGCCCGGCAGTCAGCTGCCCTCACCTGGCTCAGGCTGCAGACAGGCGGTAGGAAGTCGGGGAGAAGAGGCTGGGCGTCCCTCACTGCCCCCTGCTGCCCGGGGCCCCTGCAGGAGAGGCTCCACCGTGGCTGTTGGGCACCGAGGGGAGAGGTGGGCCGGGGCACTCACTTGTAGAAGAGCAGGAGGTCAGGAGGGTGCAGGGCAAAGTCCTCCTGGAGGCCGAGCCGCGCAGCGAGGTTGGCCAGGCAGCTGAGCTGGGCAAGGTGGGCAGCAGGTCACTCCATCCAGTCTGGAGCGGCCCTGGGGGACACTGCCCAGCCCCTGCCCCCTCAGCAGTGTGCACATTTTAGTGAATCGTTGGTGGTGTATGAGAAAACACCGCAGCACAGGGAAAAGGAAGAAATGAGGCCAGATGGAGATAGCAATCAGTATAAACGGGCTAACTTTGCTGCTGAAAAACAGATGCTTAGATTTCAGCTAGATCAGCAACTCAGATCTGTGGGGTGTAAAAAGGACACCTAAAATGAAGACAATTCAGAGCTGCATGCCAGAAGCTCGTGCCTATAATCCTAGCTACTCAGGGGGCTGGGATCTGAGGATCTCAGTTCAAAGACAACCCAGGCAGGTAAATCCAAGAGACTCTTATTTCCAACTAACCATCAAAAAGCCAAAAGTGGAGGTGTGTCTCAAGTGGTTGAGCAAAGAAGCTAAGCAAAAGAGTTCAAGGCCCAGTACTGGTGTATGTGTGAATGTGTGTGTGTGCACATGCACATGCACACATCCTACTCATGAAAGACAATTCTGTCAAATGTTCAAAACAACCTGGCAGCTTTGGCAAGTTGATTGTTGCTGCCATTTCTTCCGTTGGCAGTACTGGTGAGTCCGGTGATCCGTGTTCCTCACCTGAGCCCCAGACTTCATTTCTCTCGGCTATTATACTTGTGTGCACAGCTATGCCCTTCACCACCAGATCTGTGGCTCGTGCATGTCTGATATTAATAAGTTGCGTCTGCTCTCTGTGTTCCCCACCGTGGCCTGGCTGGGAGCTCTGGTCTGTTCAAAGAAGCAGTGCTTCATTTTGTGGATTTTGTCCTTTTCAGTCTTGGTCTTTTTTGCCACTTCCTTCAGATCTTTCTCCCTCCTAATATACACTTTCAGTGTATAAACCTAAATAGCTACAATTCTAGCTACCTAGGAGATGGTGAGCAGGAGGATTGAGTTTCTAGGCTAACTCAGGCCAAAAACACAACCCTCCCTCCCCGCCGCATCTCAGCCAGTAAATCCAGTGATGGTTTGTGCCTGTGATCCCGGCCGCACCAGGTACTGTAGGTGGATCGGAGTCTGGCTAGAACAAGAATGGGCCACCCTAACTGAAATGGCCAAAGGGTAGAAGGAGTGCTGAAGGTGTGGATCAAGTGGTGAGGGTCCTGCGAAGCTATGAGTTCAAATTCCAGTAGCACACAAAAGAAAGCTGAACATTTCATTTTCAAGTTTTTGGGGGGAGTTTTCCAGGTATCACTCATTGATTTCAAGTTAGATTCCACTGTGGTCTGAAAGCAGACCTTTTTTTTTTTTTGTCGGTCGTGGGGCTTGAACTCTGGGCCTGGGCGTTGTCCCTCAGCTCTTCAGCTCAAGGCGAGCGCTCTACCACTTGAGCCACAGCGCCACTTCCGGTTTTCTGGTGGTTTATTGGAGATAGGCGTCTCATGGTCTCTCCTGCCCGGGCTGGCTTTGAACCACGATCCTCAGTTCTCAGCCTCCTGAGTAGCTAGGATTACAGGCGTGAGCCACCAGCGCCCGGCTGAAAGCAGACCTTTATTTGGATCTTTTGGCAATACTAGCACTGGCTAGGAAGAAAAGTTAGCCCTCTTGTGCTTTGATACACTGTTTTTTTTTGTTTTTTTTTTACAGTACTAGTTTGAACGCAGGCTCTCACACACGCAAGGCGGACATTCTACTGTTTGAGCTACATCTCTAGCCCCATTTTGGCATTGGTTATTTTTGCATGTGTGCAGGTGCTGGAGCCTGAACTCAGGGCTGGGGTGCTGTCTCTGGGTTTTAGTGCTCAAGACTAATGCTCTACCACTCGAGCTCTACTTCTTTTTTTTGGTGGTTCACTGGAAATGAATCTTATGGACTTTCCTGCCCTGGCTAGCCTTGAACTGTGATCCTTAGATCTCAGCCTCCTGAGTAGCTAGGATTGTAGGCATGAGCCACCCATGCCCTGCTCTCTTCCTTTCTTAAGTTGGGCTGAGGCTGGGGTGGGGAGGTAGAGAAAATCCTCAGCTCACCAGGGAGGCAGAGAACAAGCTGGAAACTCCAAAGACACCCTGCCCCCGCCGTGGGGCCAGACTTTTAGAGCCACTAAAGAGGCCACATTTCTGTCTGTTTTTGATAGTACTGGGTTTGAACTGAGCCTTGCTGGATAGGGGATCTGTGCTTGATCCAGGTCCCCAACCCATTTTGTTTTAGTTATTTTTCAGGTAGGTCTTGCCTGAAAAATAACTCGATTGGGTCACGTCCTCTCCTGACTACCTCCTGCGTAGCTTGGGTTACCGGCATGCGCAACCACATCCAATCGGGGATGTTTCTGAAACTGGCAAATCTGCCCAGCCTAAGCTGGTCAGCTGGGTTCCACCTGGAAGCCTGGTCCCACTCGATGGCCACCACATTAACTGACTATCCCTGCAGTGACTCTGAGGGAAGGGGGTGGCCGGACTTCAAGGCCTGCATGCCCCCGGCCCCGCCCTGCCGTGGCTCTGCCCAGGGCCGGCTCCATCCTCGGCTGGGACCATGGGCACCCATTCAGGACACCTCCATCTGCAGCTGCCCAGGGATCCCGGCTTCCCCTCATGCCCTCACTCTCTTCACCGAAGGTACCTGCCAGGCTTTGAGGGGTACCCGCTTCGAGGCCAGGCTCCTGACCAGAGCTGAGAGCTGCTCCCGGGGTAGCTGGCTGGCTGGCTGGCACCAAAAGTCGTGCAGGAGGGCAGCGTTGGCCCTGGACAGAAAGGGGAGGTACGGAGAAGCTGGGAGAGGCGGCTCTGAGGACGGCCAGGCTGCAGCACTGGAATCAAGGTCAGACTCAGTGTCCTCTCACTGGGAGAGTGAGAGACAGGAAATAGCTTTTCTTCCATCCATCCATCCATCCATCCACCCACCCACCCATCCATCATCTATATATCCATCCATCTATCATCCATCCACCCATCCATCCATCCACCCACCCACCCATCCATACACCCACCCATCCATCCATCATCTATACATCCATCCATCCATTTGTTCATCCATCTACCCTCTTACACATCCATGCACCCACCCGTCCGTCCATCTACCCACTCATCCATCCATCCATCCATTTCCTCCCTCCAGGAGCCCCCGATGGGTGGATTCTTAGCTGTATGGGGGTTAAACGTGGCCACAAGACCAGCCGTCTCCCAGAGCCTTCCTCAGGTATGACTGCAGTGAGATGCGTATGTAGAGAGTGTGTGTGTTCTGTGTGGGGTGACATTAGCCTGGGTTTGGCTGGTCCTACTTGGGTCCCTGGTCCTCCAGGACCATCCACTTCACTAAATGACCAGCTCACAGGGACTACAAGTCCTAGAGAAGAGGAGGACACTGTCCAGCCCAGGCGGGAGACCCCTGGATGCCAGGAAATGACCAGGTGGACGACAGCTAAGAGACTTGGGAAGAAGTGAGGATCTGGGGACGCACGGGTGGGTTAATGGGGTTTGAAGGCCGCAGGAGGAGGCTTGGAAGGTTTGGGGGGACCTTTGGCAAGGTCCTGGCCCTTCGTTGTTCAAGATGGCTTTTACTTCTGGCTGCACTCTGGACAATGGCCAGGGGCCTTCGGAAACTGGACCTTGAGTGGGTGGCCAGGGATGAGGTCAGGCCTGAGGCCAGAGCCCAGGGTGCAGGAACCCCACCTGGGAAGACTCCGGGTGTGGTCTCTCTTCAGGGAACCCCAACAGCGGCCCCTCCGCTCTGACCGGTGTGTACTCACCTAGCCCACGGGTCAGCCGTGGCAGCCAGCGCTGCCCGGGGGGTGCTGTTGGCCTGGGTGCTGGAGCAGTGGGCTGTGAGGGACAAGAGGAGGGCCAGGCCTGGGCTGACCAGAGCACCTGGAAGAGAGTGGAGCGCGCGCTGTCGGGGCTGCGGGGGCCCCCGTGATGCCTGTGACGCCCACCCCGGGGGCCCCCGTGATGCCTGTGACGCCCACCCCGGGGGGCCGTGATGCCTGTGACGCCCACCCCGGGGGCCCCCCGTGATGCCTGTGACGCCCACCCCGGGGGGGCCCCCGTGATGCCTGTGACGCCCACCCCGGGGGGCCGTGATGCCTGTGACGCCCACCCCGGCCACGCCTCCCCGTGTGGAGGAACCGGAGCTGGTGTGGGAGGCTCGCGCACATGCGCGGGTCTGAATGTGGCGTGTGTCACACGGCGTGAGCACACGCCCATCATGCCTGTCCTGGTCCCCTGTCCACCACCCGCGTGCCGGCGTGCGTGGGCGCAGCCGGCCTGGGAGGGGGGACGGCAGTGCTGGGCGGACCGCATAGCAGAATCTCTTCTCCCAGTGCAAGGATGCCAGGAAACCAGGCTGGAGCACTAGGCACCCCATCCCTCCCAGGCTGGGCACGGCAGAGCCCCCGGGGGCCCGGGACCCCGTCCGTCCGTCCGTCCGTCCAACCGTCCATCCTCTCACCTGCTCTGGGACCGGTGGAGGAGTGGCGGCGTGCACTGGTCATGGTGGCTGAGATGTCCCGGGGCAGCCAGGCACAGGCAGCTGGCGGGTCCAGGACCAGCGGGAGAGGACCGCGCAGGATGCCGGCCTGGGGGAGAAGACAGTCCCCCCCACGGGCATCAGAGAGAAGGGGAGCAGAGCTGCCGAGCCCGGCCTGCCTTATCAGCAGCAGGACTCCAGGGAGGTGCCGGTCACAAACAGCAGGTCCCTCAGGCGGGGGAAGAGATGCCCTCATGTGGGGGCCACGCCAGGGCCGGGGTGTGCCTGACCATGGCCAGGCCTCAGGCACTAGCACCACCATTGAGACCAGTTCTAGGGACAAAAAAGGGGCTGTGGAGAGCTGCTGGCCCCATGAACCCCGCACGTTCCACCCAAAGCGGGGTGCCACCGACCCCCCAAACCCCGCACACACCACCTGATGGCTTTTGAGGCCTCTTCAGTGTCCTGGGCCTATGTAGCCTGGGAGAAAGACAGATTTACTGCCCAGTACAGAGTCTAAAAGAGAGGCTTGGCCCCTAGTTTGGGGCACGGCCCCACCCAGTACCCGCCCCTCACCTGAGCAGGAGCAGTGCGGGCTGTGGTAGAGAAGGTGCTCGGGCCTCATGCACAGATGGGGCTGCTTTGGGCCAAATGGTTGCGGGGTGCAGGCAGCTGCAGACCGGTTGCTCCAGACACTGCTGATCTTAACCTCTGGGCACATCAGTTCCTGCGGCTGAGCTTTGAGTGCAGGGGTGGGGAGCAGGGACACTGTGTCTGCTTGCCTACATGCCTGGCTCGGTGCATCTGTCCATGCTGCCTGCCCCTGGTGCCTGCCCCTGCCTGGTGCCTGTGGGGGGCCCTGTGGGGAGGGGCTGTGCCGTGCAAGGTGACGATCCTCTCAGCCCCAGGGAGCCCCAAGCACAGCCGCACCTGGTCCCCGATCCTGGGGGAGTGCAATGCTGAGCTCAGAGTTGGCTGGCACCCAGGGCCAGCCCCTCCCGCGCCCCCTGGGGGTGGGGTGAGCCTGTTTGCCATCTGTGTTGTGTCTGTGTGGAAGGGTGTGCGCTCTTGTGTCTCAGTCCACGTGGGCCTTGCGCACCACTGCTCGGGGTCTCGCGTGCGTGTCCGGGAGTGCAGAGGGCTGGCAGTGGCAGGCTCCCTCGGGGCAGGGCCATGTGCTGGGACACACCAGGAGACCGGCCCAGTCCTGACGGCCGCAGCCAGGCCCCAGCAGCCCTGGGGCCAGCACGGGGCTCCACAGTCCGGACTTGGGGGGCGGGGGCACATGGAGCCAGGCAGGAGGGTAGACCGGAGGAGGAACTTCCTGACTGTCCAGGGTCTAGGGCATCTCCCAGCTGAGTGCAAAGAGCAGTGGGTGTCCCAGGCTGGACCCGAGCCCTGGCCCTGGCCCTATGCAGCTGCAGCATCAACATCACCTGCGCCCCAGGGTCTCAGGTGCCCCTACGCTAGCTTTGGGGGCCCCAGCTGACCTGGGCTGTGTGTGCTGACAGCTGGGGAAACCGCAGCCGGCGGCCTCTGCCTTCCTGACAGGCCCTCCCAGAGCCGGAGCACAGGCGGGCAGAGGCAGCAGGGAGGGAGGCCTAGGCGGCCCCTAGGGGTCTCGGGACAGCCCTGCCTAGGGGGCCCAGGGGGTGTCAGTCCCAGCCCCTGCAGGTCTCACCCTGCAGACGCTGCCTCCCCAGCAGCCAGGCACCTTGGGGATAGGGTAAGGGCGGCCGCCGGCCGGCAGCGCCACCGTGTGGCGGCAGCAGGTGTGACAGCGAGGGGAGGGGCCGAGCCACGGGTGCTGGGCCCGTCCCCGGGGCAGGTTCTCCTGTGGAACTTCCAGAAGCATCTCTCCTGAGCACTGCTGTGGGCCAGGAGGGCAAGGGCCCCACAGCGAGGAGGCCTGTGAAGCCGGGGGGGGGACACACCCCACAGCGAGGAGGCCTGTGAAGCAGGGGGGGACACACCCCACAGCGAGGAGGCCTGTGAAGCCGGGGGCGGGGGACACACCCCACAGCGAGGCCTGTGAAGCGGGGGAACACACCCCACAGCGAGGAGGCCTGTGAAGTGGGGCGGGGGGCAAGGGCCCCACAGCGAGGAGGCCTGTGAAGCAGGGGGGGTAACACACCCCACAGCGAGGAGGCCTGTGAAGCGGGGGGGGGACACACCCCACAGCGAGGAGGCCTGTGAAGCGGGGGGGGGGACACACCCCACAGCGAGGCCTGTGAAGCCGGGGGAACACACCCCACAGCGAGGAGGCCCGTGAAGCCCGGGGTGGGGGGACACACGGGATCCTCTCTGCTCTCCTGGCAGATGAAGAAGCAGGCTCGGGACCCCGTGGCCCTCCCAAGACTGGGCAGCAGCGCTGAGCTGGGGTGGGGCCATCCCAGGAGCCTGTGTGTGCGCACGCGCGCATGCGTGGCCAGGCCTTGTGGACCTAGCCACAGGCTGCCACAAGGAACAGGCTTCAGCTGGCTGGAGGCTGATGCTTTTGGCTAGGAGGGCTGTGGGGTGCCGAGTTCAGACCCCCATATCTGTTGTACCTGCCGGGAAGTCTCAGGGCAATCCTGGATGCAGGAAGCAGGGCTAGCAAGGGTCTGGAACATTCCAGCCCCTGAATCAGGTACACCCGTGAACACTCTCAGTGTTGACCACTAAGCATTTATTTGTAATTCTCGACTCCAGCCGCACCAGCATGGTGCGACGGTACTGTGGAGGGCCGAGGAGGTGAGGCCCGGGGACGCCCAGACGGCACTGCTGCAGGTCACACCGCGCTGCGGCCCCAGCCCATACAGCAGAGGCAACATCACACGAGGCTTGGTAGCCGGGTGCAAGTGGAGGCGTCCCTACGCCGGCAACAGGCAGACGAGGCTGAGCCCAGGAGAGTCTGGCAAAAGCAAAGGCATAAGGCAAGCAGGGCGCAGGCTGCGGGTCCAGCCCGATGGAGAATCAGGGGCTCTGAGTGGAGCAAAGTGCTTCAGAATGCAGGAAATGGCCGGGCCAGGCCGGGGCCAGGTGGCTCTGCGGAGCCGGTGGGCCCAGGAGGGGCCCGTCCGAGCAAAGGCTTCCAGGCCCTGGCTCCACCCCCCCAGCAGCGTGGGCTCAAGCAAGCGTAGAAGACAGAGACCCTTGCAGTGATGTTTCTGTTCCAGGAGAGAGACACTGGGTTCCCCCGGGGGAATGTTTCCAGAAAAGCCTTCCCAGGCCCAGTAGCCATCCTCCAGCCACGGTGGCTGTCTGCTGCCCCTCCCAGCCCGAGCTCTCAGTTGTCTGGCTCCAAGGTCCACTCCAAAAGCCACTGCAGGCAGGAGGCTCGCTGGGCCTGGGTCTCGGGAGGGGGCCGGCCGGGCTCAGGCGGGGGGGCGGCAGGCCCGGGCTCCCCCTCCGTGGGGTCAGGGTCTGGGGCGGCCCGTAGGGCCTGCACCAGCTGGTCGAGGGGCTGCAGCAGGGTGTGGGGGCTCCAGCAGGCGTCGAGGGCCGGCAGGAAAGGGTCTGGCGTGCAGGCCTCCACACACTCGGCCCGAGTGGGGATTCGCAGGTAGAAGGCATGCAGCATCATGCGGAAGGGCTGGTCCTCCCGGCCCGCGGCCTGCCCATAGGTCAAGTCGCCCACAACAGGGTGGCCAAGGGCGCTGCAGTGCACGCGAAGCTGGTGTGTCCGTCCTGGGGGTGGGGGAGGGAGGGTCAGGCGCCCCGTGACGCCACACCCAGTTCTGCTGTGGAGCCTTACAGTGGTCGCTGGGCCTGCGCCTCCCCGTCCCCTGCCAACGAGATGCCAGGCTCTGAGACAGAGAGGCCCTCGGGGCCGCGGCCTGGCCACCCGCTCTGCCCAGGTGGTAGGGGACCTCAGGCAGGCCACACTGCTTCCACCTCGGGGTCACACGGGGGGGGGGACTGGACGCACCTGTGAGGGGCTTCAGCAGCACCTTGGACACGGGGTCACCGGCGTACAGCCCATGCTCCAAGACCACCAGCTCTGTGAGGCTTGGCTTTGGGTTCTCACAACCTGGGGGCAGAGAGGAGTGTGGCGGTGGGCTGGGCCAGCCCTGGGATTCCAGTCACCCCCAAGCCACACCTGCCTGGGCTGGTGCTGTCTCTGCAGCAGGTGTGCACGCAGCCCCTGCCCCAACCTGCATACCCTGGGTGCCCTCAATGCACATGGTGTGGGTCCGGCCCTCCGTGCTGTTCCTGCCAATGGCATAGCTGATGGTCGTCTGATGCTCCTGGACATGACCCCGAACCTGCCAAACAGGAGCAACCCCTTCAGCTCACGAGACCAGCCTGCCTCCGCTGGGAAGCCTGCCCTGTACCCAGTTGACCATCTGGAACCAGGGGCTCACGTCTGAAGCCTGCTGAAGCGGGTAGGGAGTTTTGAGCTCTAACTCTGCCCCCGCCCCAACCACCTAGACTTTGCCAGAGCCAGTCTACCCCACCCCCCCACCCCACCTCACCAGAGCCAAGTAGGCTTTGGTGACCCGCCGCTCCTTGAAGCATCTGTACGCGCTGCCCGCCGCTGCCTTGTTCAGAGCCACGCATAGGGCGCCACTGGTGGAGAAGTCCAGCTGGTGGCAGAACCTGGGCAGGGAGAGGAGTGGTGGTATTTTAGTCCCCACCTTCTGGGAAAAGTCCAGCGCCGGGTTGCTTCCCTCCGATGAGCACAGCCCGGAGACTGCCTCCGCCAGCTGTGTGTACCTACCTGAACCCGTAGCAGGTGTCGGGGTCGGCCAGCTCCGGAAAGCGGTGCCTCAGCTGCTTCTGCAGGGTCAGCGTTTCCCGCCAGGTCTTGCTGTCGATGCGCAGGTCCCAGTGCTTGTTCACCACCAGGAAGTCACTGCTCCGATACACAATGGACAGGTTCTCCATGCTGCCCGGCTCCATGGCCCGACGACCCTGTAGATGGGAGTGAGGCCTGGGGAGGAGAGCCGGGATCCCTGGCCTGCAGCCCCCGCGCCACGACCCGCGCTGGGGCCCTTATATGTGCCTCCCACCAGGACCAGGGCAGTGGCGTCGGCTGGGGCCGCCCGGCCAAGGTCTGCGCTCAAGAGGGCTCAACATGCCCGGGACACGGGAGGGACAGCTTGGCCGCCCACCTCCCCCGCCCCGCCGTCCCGTCCCCCGCCCCCCTCGCTGTCCACCGGGGTCCCCCGCCGTCCCCCGCCCCCC